TTATGTCCATAAATTAAGGATAATACAAAATCAGGCAAAGTGAGAGTTAGAAGCAAAGCAAATTTGACTTATATGTAAAGCTTATTTATTAAACAAAAGGTAAAGAGCAAAAAATGATGCTATATGTTTGTTATTATTAAAAAAATTAGCGATTTTTTTCCCTGGAGCAAATTACAAAAAAAACCTATTTACAAAAAACCAATATTACATGGTTGGTATGACTGTTAATACATTGTATGTCTCCCAGACGATGCAATACAGTCCGTACAACGCCTAGGCATGCTGAGTATCAAATTATCTTGGGGGATCTGATCTTGGGAGATATTACACCACTGAAAACGAAATGCTCTCCGAAGTTCCGTAGACATGTAGGAGGAGGTTGACGGGCTGAAACTCGTCGGCCAAGCATGTCCCACACGTGCTCTACTGGATTCAAGTCCGGTGAGAATGCTGGCCAGTCCATACGGGTGATATCCTCCGATTGAAGGCATTCGCAACGATGTTTGCACGGTGAGGACGGGCGTTGTCATCCATAAACACAAATTGTGCGCCCATGGCCCCCGAAACAAACGTATATGTTGTTCCAGAATGACGTCCCGATAGATTTGGCTTGTCATGGTTCCTATTTGAACATGCAGGTCAGCTCTGGAATCCAGAATAATTCCACCCCAAACGAGAACTCCTGCACCACCGTAACGGTGCCATTCAGTGATGTTTTCTTTGGTAACGGGTACCTGGAGCTCTCCATATGAAAGTCCAGCGAGAATCCAACTGCAAGCTAAGCCTGGACTCGTCGGAAAACATCGCACAAGCCCACTGTTGCGGTGTCAACAATGCATGCTCTCTACTCCAGGCTAACCGCAGGCGACAGTGAGTTGCAGTAAGTGGAACGCATCTGACAGGTCTACGAGTATATAGACCAATCTGCCCTAAGCGTCTGTACACGGTCTGCCTTGAAATTGACGTACCAATGGCTGAAGAGAGCTGACGAGACAGGTCTGAGGCTGTGCTCCGCCTGTTTCTTTTGGCAGTAACTGCCAAATCCCGGTCCTCATTCGGCGCTGTAACTCTGGCGCCGAATAGTTGCTTTTGAATTCGCCGACTAGACCTTTGCTGTAACGTCTACTCACAATACCATCATCTTGGAATCGTTGCCAAAGCCTGGAGATGACACTCTGGGCAATTCCAAGTTCGTCTGATACTTCCAGTTGGGTACGCCCACATTCCAGACGGCCGATAATTCTACCACATAAAAAATCATCCAAATGCGTCCTTTGTGTCATAACTATTCGGTTATTGCACTGAAATGCTTATAAAGCGCCCGCGAACAATTTTACTTCTTTGCCTGTATTCCTTATATATGACTCTCTTACACTCTCGTCATTGTGACGTACCATCGGTGTCATCTGGTTACTTCCTGAAATTTGCATATGATTCTTGAAGATGTGTGTAGTGATTTTACAGGTGATATATTTACTTTAGAGTTCGATTTCCGCGTGACTCCGAATTATCCTTAATTTATGGACATGAGTGTATTTACAAATTTTCACAGGACTAGTTTTTATGGTTTTACTGAACCATCATCCTCAGCTGCCAAAGTTGAAAAAAAATAAAGACATATCATTTGAAAAAAAAAAAAAAAAGAAAAAAATGTGTGTGTTTGATTGTTCTTTTTCTTCCTTTGGCAGCCGAAGATGGTGGTTCGGTAAATCAATTAAAACTAGTCCTGTGAAAATTTTCAAATATAACGCTTATTTTTATTGTTTAATTTTTAAATTAATACTTGTTAGTCGTGTTATTTTATCTTAGCTCTTTAAGGTAGCTTTGATAACAATCCAATGGACTAAAAATTATTGGACGGCAATTTAAAAAGTCGTGTTTAGTAACATCGAAGCACTTTCTATTAAACTGTGAATTTACGAAATAAATATATAAAAGACTCAACAGATCAACAATATACAATGAAATAAGAATATAAGTTGTAAAATAATTGATTTACAAAACATAGACTTATTCTGTTAATGTAACATTTATTTGCTAAGGATAAAGGAATTTTAATGTGCAACTTAGTAATTAGCATCCAGTAAATATATGCAAGACAAGTCTTAAAACTTTCACTTAATAATGTATAGTAAACAATGCATGTTTAAATTGAAATGTTTTATTTGCATTCCAATTTAGTTCGATAAATTTATCGAAACACTTTTTGGACATCTACGATCATTTAGTAAAGTCGCAAACAAAATGCGTAAATAAATAAATAAATAAACTTCCAGCTAAAAATTACAAATTTTGATATAAAGCCCAAAACAAATTACAGTTGAAGGTTTAAAAGGTTTAAACAAATATTAAAAAAAAAAAAAAGAACAGAAAGAGTTCAGATTTTAACGATCGCCCAAGAGAATTTGTTAAGGTTTTTATGTTGTCGCTGAGCTCGTAGTCTACCAGTCTGTTGTTGCTTACTCCTGCTAGCTTTGTTATTAAGCATCATTTTCTTCACACTTACACCATATACAAATCAACAGCAATACTGAAAACATTTTAAAAGCTGCATATGTTAGAATTCTCGATGCAGTGTTGGCATATGTTTTTTCTGTCTTTTCTCGGTTGGTCATATCAATATTCAGTTTTCTTAGTAAGGTGGCTTGTGAAAGTTTCTGTTTGTCTTTTTATTATTCCCGGTTTGTGTGTCAACTTTATTTACTAAATATCAGTTCTTCGCACTTAATCCACGTAAAATTCAGTTCAACAGGGAAAATCACAGAATATTTAAAAACAGTACATGTTTAGAATTTCCGATAGACAGTATGGCACGCTGGAGATAAAAATATTTTATTCCCTACGTTACTGTTAATGCTGGCCTTCAAATGTTTTAGTTATATTATTCAAAATTTAATGGCTCTAGGTAAAGTTTATTTTTCAAAATGGGAGGAATATACATACATGTATGCAGATTTTTCATTATTTAATTTCATTACAGGTAATACAGAACGAATTTGTATTTGGTGGCAATAATTTGAAACGGAATTCGCCGTTTATAGTGTACGAAGCAAAATACCGTTTCAAAACTCATAGTTCATTCGGGCTAACCCTCTTTTGGAACAAAAATTTGAAATATGAAAGCTTTGCTATTATAATCTATTCGGAATATAGATTTTAATTCAAACATAAAAAATATATAATTAAGTAATTATAACAGGCTGTAGGAATTACTTCCTCATAAATTAAAAATCTAAATATTAAAAATCTTTTGTTTAAAATTAAAATATATTGTTATGATATTTATTAATTCATCGTAACTTAATGCCATGTGAAAACTTGTATACATATCTAACAAAGAAAAAAAACCTAATTACGCAAAACATACAGATGCGTCTGACAGATAAGTCAGCGCGTAATACCGAGCTTGTGCAATTCTCGTATGTTTTTAAGCGAAAACAGATCCCTGTGTACCTGGAGAGAAGAATAACGCAAAAGAAAGTGAATGATTTCGTGGTAGTGCACTTTATTTATTTAACGAATCTCATAATCCTTATAAAACAATCCAAATTCGTATTTAAAATTGCTAAATTTTGCTTTCTTTTGATAAGTTTGCATAAAGCTTGTAAAATGTTTGTGTCTTAAGTCGTAATATTTTCTATTTTGCAAGGGTGCGATATTTGCAAACTAAAACAAGAAATACCTCGAGCAGGTTTCCTCCGAAGTGTTTAATAAAATTTGCGATTCTTCAATTCTGGAAAATTTGAAATTTATGAAACATATTTAAGAATTTTCATATCTGTGGGCCAGGATTCGAACTTTTATTAAGGGGACTCATACACCTTAAAACCCATAAGATGTTCGAATAGATGACTGTTGCAAGAATTAGGATAACTTATTTGTTTTAAAAGCAATTACTACCAACTTTTTACAGCTTACTACATAATATAGCTGCTTTCTGAAATAGTCATCAGAAAGTTTGTGTTGCCACAAATATTTTTATAACTTAATACGCTTTGTGACAACATTTTTCGTCATGTTTCCAACTTGCGCGCACAGTTTAAAACATTCTGTTTCACAATTTAATTCCATATTTAATATATAGCTTTTATAACATTTGGAAACAACTGTGAACCTAAAATTCTAAAAATTTCATATTAAATTTTTATTTTATTTTGAGTTGAGTTTATAAAATGTATTTTATTAACAAAATTTGTAATGTTTTCGTCCATAAAATTTTTCAGTATTAAAATATTCATCAGATTGTTGGTTCAGTTAGAAAATAGTGCCCATATAAAGAATTCCATCAAGTTTCAAGTATGTACCATTAGCCATTTTTAAAATATCATGCGCGCAAGGTGGAAACATGGCGAAATATTTTGTCACAAAGAAGATTAAATTACAAAAATATTTGTGGCAACACAAACTTTCTGGTTACTATTTCAGAAAGCAGCTATATTATGTAATCAGCTGTAAAAAGTTGGAAGTAATTGCTTTTAAAATAAATAAAATATCCCAATTCTTGCAACAGTCTCATATTCGAAGTTCATAAGGGGTTTAAGGTGTATGAGTCCCCTTAAAACGCTTGAACATTTTAATCTTAAATAAAGTTTGCGAAGCATAAGAAACGGATAAATACTGAATTAAAATTATTTTACAGATTTCCACTGTTTTAGATGTGAGTAATTCTGTTATGCAATTTCATATTTTCAAATAATTTAGGCATTTTTATTTTTTTTTACTATTACATTATGAAGGTGAAATACGTTTCTAATAAATATAGCCCGAAAATAATTGCATTATATTTTAACCTGGGAAATTTGAAGAATATATGCACACTTATTCCCGTCAAGAGCATTAAAATAGAAATTATTGGAAAGACCAAACTTGGTATTCTATTCCTGATCGTGAAGGTCTAATGATTTCACTAACGTTGCAGTTATAAGGATATCCTACTCGTTAGCTCTTTAACGAGGAAATATATGCATATACATCCTTTACGAAATATATTCGATAACATTCTCGGGTAGGTACACTTTACACTACACTACATTCGTAGTAATCCGGGTTTAGAAGCTTCGAAAATTTAAAACAGAATGTGGCTTTTGCTCTTCTCTCCTTTGTTAGTTCTCTGTTCAGGTAAGAAAATTGTTTTAGGATTAATAATAATAATAATAGCTAAACGAGAAATTATTTGAGTGATACTATATTTCCTTGCGTATTTTCTCCCTTTGGTTTTGAAAATTATAAAAATATTCTCCTCTATTGTACATAGTTCCCCCCCCCTCTGATTACTACTTCAGTGGTATGTTGATAATTAGCCCAGACGGTGTTAGCCCAGAAGGGCTATTAATTTCAAAACAGCATTTTGCGTCGATTCACTTTTCAAACTGTTGCCACCAAATATCATTCCTTCGGTATCGCAATAGGGTTCCCTGTCCACTATATCATCTGCGCAACGTGGATTACGGACTTAATTTCGCTGTTTACCAATTCTACAAACGTAAAGATATTAATTCAAAGTCTCTTAAATTAAATTTCACTTTGTTCTAAAAATATTTTCTGCAGAAATAAAAAGAAATCTAAAAGAAAATATAAATTTATATTAGTTAAAAATTTTAGCTCATAAATTATTAGCCCAAAAGGACGTTAGACCCAAATGGGACTTGGGTCTCGAAACGGCATTTTGCATCGAAACACTTAAATGTGTTGTATCACTTTTCCAACTGTTGCCACCAAATATAATCGCCATGTATTATATTTAAAGAAAATAATGAAGAATGTGCATGAATGTTTCTCGCAGTTTGAAAAAACAACGGTACCTGGAGCTATCAAATTTTTAATAACGTAGTCCTACACTTGGAAGCCCGAACTCTGAATTTCGAATTTGTTTCATTATCTATTAACTGTTTTGTAAAACCTTAACGAATTTTTGATTTAATGATTTTTGGGGCGAATTGAAAACGGAATTATTTTTTATACTTTTTATTAAATTGTTTTTATCTCAAAGAGCGTTAGCCCAGGAGGGCTATTAATTTCGTTTTCACATTTTGCGTTGACTTACCTTAAACGGCGAATCACTTTTGAAATAGTTGCCGCCAAATATTAGAGCCATGTGTTATATTTAAAATAATTAAATAATGAAGAACCTGCATTAATGTGTGTGTACGTGTCTCGCATTGTGATAAAACAGCGGTACCTAGAGGCATCCAATTTTGAATAAAGTAATCCTCCAGCGAATATCGGCATCTAGAAGCGCACATTTGGAATTTTTTATGATTTAGTTCATATTTTCTAACGAATTCTTGAGTACGAATTTCAGAGATTTCAAGGTGAGCACTGGCAACACACTGTGCGGAATAAATATTTTTATCTCCAGCGTGTGAAACTGTCTACGGTACAGCCATCCAATGTTGAACAAGGTACGTCTCCTCCTCAATCCGGAAGTCCAAATTTGGTATTTGCTTTATTATCTCTTTCATATTTTGTAAAGCATTTATGAGTTTTTGATTAAGAAAAGCAACAAATTCAAAGCTACAGCACTGTACGAACAATGGCAACACTCTACGAAAAAAAAAAAAAATTTTATCTCCAGCGTGCGAGACTATGTATCAAAAATTCTAAAGATAGGCTGCTTTTAAAAATGCTGTGATATTGTTGTTGAATTGAATTTTATATGTTTAAGGGAACTCGGTACCTCAAAATCAATGAAATTACCGATTTTTCAATTTTTTGCTGGAAAAGTACCTTAGTACACTTAATACACTGAAGAGAAATTTTGAAATGATCTGACGATAATAAATGCTATTATAAGGTTTTTAAAAATTTTGACGCCCCTTTAAAAGCTACGCTCTCTCAGCGTTTATTTATTTTTTTTTTTTACTTCTTAATTTTTTCAGTAACCTACTAAAAATCAGCGTACCAGAAAAATAGTGTAATTAAATATGACTCCAACTATAAAAAAAACTGTGTTTATGTGTAAATAAACTGATTTGTTTAAATACAAATTGAAGTTGGAAAAATGTTTTTCACTTTTAAACTGGAAAGTTTATATATTGATATTGATCTCAGCAAATACTTTTATGTGTATTATCAGTCAGCTTTGGTATGCTTATTCAAAAGTTGAAATTATCTGTGATTAGATGCGAACAGAAAGAGGTGACACGTGTCATGAAAGTGATCAAGTTTCTGACTTTGCATTATTGAAATAGTGCAGGAACAAACATTAAACTCTTTAATTAATTAAAATGCACTTAAAAAAATGCGATTTATATATAAGAATAAATGGCTAAAATAAGAGAAGAAATCACATAAGCTGTCTGAGTGGTTTTAAATAAATGTTTTTATCTGTAAAAATTCCGAGTTTGCTTTTTAATAAAATGAATTAAACACAATTAATATATTATATTTTATAAGCGTTTTAGAAAATATATATAATTAATTCATGCATTAAAATTATTTGAGCGTATTTTAAAAAACAAAACAGGTAAAGAAAAATTCTACTAGCCTTTTATGATTTTTTGCAATATTTCTAGCCAGATAATGTTTTAAACAAAAGCTTGTAATTTATGTTCATATTAACAATTGAGCAGTACTAAGTTTTATTTTATATATTAATATATGTATTGAAATTCAGTAATAAAATTTTTAAGAAGTTTTAAATGATTTAATGACTATTCAGAGAGTTTACATTCTTTAAACAGCGTTTTCTCAGTTTGAAATTTTTCAATATATCCTTTTACTTAAAGTCCTAAAACTTGTACAGGTATGAACCAAATTATTTAATAATTTTACTGCTTATTTAAAATTATATACTTAATAGAATCAAGAATTGGTTTTGAAAAATAGTGAAAAGAAAAATTATTGGAAGTGAAAATGTTATTGAAATCATATTTTTTAAAGTTTTTATATAAAAACGTCCTTTTTTATTTTTTTTCTCGGACACTAAGTCATTAATTGCAAAATCGATCCGTAAAGTTATTAAGAACAACACTATTATAAATATAATAAAAAATTAAAAAAATATTGAAAATTGTTTAAGAAGAAAGAATATTTAATTGTTGAATTTTTTTAATAATTTTAACAAAAAATTTTATTTTTAATAATAACATTTTTTTTCATCTTAAAATTAAATCATTTATCATTTTGTCTTATTAAAATTATTTTGTCTTATAAAATCACTTAATATTTTTCATAAAAAGTAGATTAAAGTTCTTAAATAAAAATAATCATTCAAAAGGTATCGAGTCCCCTTAAATGGGAAGAACATAATGTTTAATCAATAAAGGTAACACACAAAACATTAAAAAAAGCATGCTCCTTATAAAATCTGAAAACTAAATTAATCTAAAACATAATCTAAAACATAATCTTATAAAATCTAAAACAATTTTTTTAGGTCTATTTTAATATGATTTTAGGAAGCAAAGATGAGGATTTGAAAAATACGTTTCGAGGTCAAGATGAGCTAACATGACACATTCTTGCTGTTCTCGTTTAACACAAATATGAAAATAGAGAGGAGTTCCAGTTACCCGAAATAAGATATCCAAAGTTCTAGATACTTGGACTATTTTTGTTTTTGTTCAATTTATTCAGCTTTTGTTTGCCTTTTTGTACTAGACTAATGGTTCGAATCCTGGTGAACGGCTGGCTGCATGGGCGTTTTCGTGATTCTCCGCAGGTGAAATGCGTATACAAGCTAGTTTCCCTTAGAAAGGTCTTCCACGATGACATCTCTCTTCTTTTATCTATTTTTGCCATCTTCTGAAATCCAGATAACTTATTCTCCCCTTTTTCCTTTCTTCTTTCGACGTCCCTCTTCGGAACTGATGTCAAGACTCATTCATGTGAGGTGCCCCTGGGGTTTCGTAAGATAAGTGATTCAGTCCAGCTCAGTTACTGTCAGAGGTTTCTTTTAGGGAAATAATACCGATATTTATCTGTAGTTTACGTTCAACTAATTTTAATTTGTTATGTTCTTACTGTAACCGTATTCTTTGGAAATGAAATTACTTGCGTAATTTTTGCCTCTTGATTTTACGATGATAAGATTAGTTACAAAAATGGGAGGAAGTACTGGTAAAAATAAAATATATATTGTTTAAATTCACATCTCTTGCTTCCATAGAATCCTAATATGTCTACAGGTGAAGGTACAGGTTGAAGCTAGGCCAACACCTCCGTAGTACCACAGGTAATTGAGGTATTGCTGAACCTAGCTAACTGTTAAATTTTCCACCCCAAGTTTGAGGAAGAACACCCCGGGGGATGGTCCGAGGTTCTAAATGTGTCTACAGTGGCGCATGAACTAAAAGGGTAGTGGATGATGATTCTCCCCACCTAGGATTCGGCACACTCACGACTGGGTCCCTAAACTCCAAGCGCCCTTTAAAAGGGGGAGTATATAAGGTATTTCTCCCTCCTTCTTAGTGTGCCTTCGGTGTGTAGTGGTTTGCATGCTGTGCGCCTATTCCAGAGGTCCTTGGTTCGATTCCCGGGGAAGGCGTTGCTCATTTTTCAATTTGTCTTGCTTCCAAAAATCCTAATGTCTCTACAAAATGTCCAGGTCAGTAGTTGTTAATCTTTTTTTTCTTTCGTTTCCCCTCATGAAACTCCTTTCACCACTGCTAAATGTTTAATCCCTCTCTCCTTTCCAAAAGTCAAGAAATACGTTCACATATAATAAATTAAGATTATATTTAATGAGTTCTTATAAGTGAAACATGAAATGTATAGAAAGTATTATTAAATACGAAAACTTGAACAAAAGTGTTCTTTTATATTCATAAACTTATAAACTTTTATATTCTTAAAAGTTATACTTAACGTATTAATAAGAGATTGGCCGCGTTCTGTTCTGAATCTATAAAATTCCACCTTTTTGAGAACACTGGTTCAGGCGCTTATACACCCAGGGTATATTTGTAATGCATTTGGAACAATTTACGCATTCCAGGCAGAAGATTGGTCTCTCAAAAGGCTAAATTATAACACATATATAATTATAATTAAAAATGAACTTTAAAACCGAACAATTTAGGTAAAAACGATATGCCAAACAAATATTAACTTAGAAGTGAAACAACAAAAATCAGCTTTAAATTGCAAATATAACGCTGATTTTTGTTGTTTGACTT